ATAAACTTCTGAGTCATTTAAATAACGGTAACTTTGAGTGCGATTTAATCACATTTGACTTCAACCACGAGTTGTGTCCAAACATAAGGCGCGCAAACTTCTCAATTGTAATCACATTTCAATCAATGAATACATCAATTGTCTTAACGTTTCATTCATTCTTCAGCCCATTTCCAAAGGCATTGGAATCGAAATAAACTACGGAAACAGTCTTCTCGATCAGACCGCCAGACGATCACTGTTTGCGTTCTCACAACTTCTGGTCGAGAAGACCAGATCCAGAGTCAGTCGTAATGACCACACATTGTCTATCATTGTCTCACATAAAAGCTATTTCGTTGCAGAATATCATACTCTCCTCCGGAGCTGAGACCAGCTTTGCGTTGAGATCTCCCAAAGATGTGACTTATTTGTAAGTAGACTATCTGTCTATCATTCAAATGAGTTTCAGTTTCCAGCAATTGATGCAAATTATGTTCATTTTGTCAGAGGATTAATGTTGGGATTAAATGGAGACCAAAGCAAAGCCGCTGTCTTTCGGAATGCGTTCAAAGTTTTAAAACATTCAGGTTTTGAGTGAATCATTACAATCGCAATACAATTGATTAAAATTGATTTTAATTTAGAAATTCGTAAAAATGTGAACACGGGAACAATTTGTTTGGCTTCTAATGAATGTCAACAAAATGAGAGCCAATGGCTTAACAAACAATTCGCTTCCAAAAGATCCGCTTCCGAAGAAACGGATAAAACAAAAAAACGTAAAACAGAAATGATTTAAATTGTATTTTATGTCGAAAAATGAATAAATAAGTGATGAAAGTATATCATTGAAAATAATGCTATCATTTGTCGTCCTCTTGTTTGTGTCGTCGCGAAGAATTACTTCGTTTTTCTGTCGTCTGAAGACAACATGCATTACAATCTCAAATCAATGATCATTGTATTCCGAACTCACTTTACTTCTGGACTCCCTGTCCTCCCGTTTACTTTTACTCGCGTCGTCCTCTTTGCGTCTTTTAGGCGTTGAATTCACTTCAGAAGAGACCTCATTATTGGGCGACTCTTTGAGCTATAAATGCAAACCAAACAAATTGTATGGCATTTAGTATTCATACAAATTTATTTAAATGTTTGTTATTTATTACCTGTTGTTGTCTTTTCCTGGCACTCGATGACTGCTTTTTCTCGTGAGATCTTGTATTAGTGTTAACACTACTAATGCCGTTATTATTGACCTCTTCTTTCAGTTTCTTATCGCTATTCTCTTCGTGT